GGTTCAAGTAGTCTGTCGCTGATTTCGAATGATGTGTATTTAATTGTATTATCTTTAGAAGTCTATCCATACTGAAGTAAAGTTAGTAGTCTGTGTTCTGTGATAGTTTGTTAATTTCTCTTATGAACGAGGGACAGTTTCGGTCTAGGGCAGAATGGTTATGGTATATTTTGTTTTTGTATTGTCGGACATGTCGGTTAAAGTTAGAGCAGTTGGGACACTTACGAGTTGGTTCGCAGCAGTCCTTCAGCTGGTGTTTGCCGCCGCAGCTGGGGCAGGTGGTCGTTCCTTGGCTCCGATCGTCGGAGTGGTGGAATTCGCAGCACTTGGTGCACCGGCGAATCCTCCAATAGTCTTCTGCCCAGTGCTTCTTATGTCTCAATCCTATCTTGTTGTATATTAATTTGGTTCTTGTGGCAGCATCGGTTTCGATTACCGCGTGGATCCTATTGTTCCGTCGATTCTTCAGAAAGTTGACAGGCCTTATCGAGCTCGGATCAATTTCCAGCGCCGCTTTCTATCTCACGAGATGTTCCGTGAAATTCTCTATGGTCACTTCTTCGTCAATGTCTGAAGATTAATTTTGGTTTTCTTCTGTTGGCTTGCCGGACAACCAGGTCTTGTGCGTTTTGTATTTTTTGTTGAATTATTTCTCTTTCATGTGGTGTGTTGGTTTCAACTATAATGGAGTCTTTTTTAGCAGAGATTTTATTGATTCCTATTTGTAAATCCTTTGGCTTTATGACCGTTTTGAATTTCCTTTTTAGTACTTCTGCGTCCTTTTTTGATTTACTTTTGATAATGAGGTTAAATGATGGCAACCGATTGGGTTTTGTTACCTGTGAATAAGATGGTGTAAGGTTGGTAGTCTCATTAATGGTCTCATTTCTTGTAGGTTGATTCAAGATAGAAGTGTAATGCACGTAATTTTGTATATCGTCTATCGCTTTGAGGAGATTTACTTTAAGGTCTTTCCTTAAGATCGAAAATTCAGAAACTTCAGCTAATGTTTTTAAAGCATTTCCGAGGGGACTGTCGTTGTTGGGCATTTTAAAATAATCAATGATCGCAAAACACAGTAATGAATAACACGCGATATTGAACCAGTGGTCAAAAGAAATAGAAGTAATAGTTATCGTCCGTCACATAATCTTCGGTAGAGACACCGAGCCTAATAACTAAGATTAGACTGAGACTATTACCTAATAACTTAAGCTATTGTATAATACTTATAATAATCAATAATTGCCAATTCCGTAATTGCAAAGTAATGATACCGATATTGTATAGCTGATATTTGATAATCAATATCTACACTCTCTTGAACCCAAACAATAAAGAATATTTTATAATTAAATATATTATACTATATATTGTAGCTATAGAGCTATATCTAATAACTATAATCTAAAATCCTAATGATGAATGTTTATATATACATGGCAATGAATGGCAATGACTTGAGGTAATAACTAATAGATTAATAATAATCAATCGACAATGTAGAATAATATAGAATAATCAATAAGTAATATAGTAATAAGTATAGCAATATAAAAATCAATAATTCACTATATTAATCAATAATCCTTCAATCATATAATATTAACCTAATAATCAAAATATATACACAAAATCTTAAACTAAACTCATTCACTAGCGGATCCAGGATTTAATTTGGGGGGGGGGCTTCAGCCCGTAAGATTTTTTTTTCATAAAAATAACGATATTTACTTTGGAAAAACAGAAAGAAACTAACTATCTATATGAAATGGTGTTTAAGTGATTCCTTAAGTCCTTTTAAATGTAATTAAACCAACAATAATACTTTAAGAGGTATTTTTTAATTTTTCCCCCCATAAAACGTGGTTATGTTTTACCATTTTTGGGGGAGGGGCTTCAGCCCGAAAGCTCCCCCCGTAGATCCGCCCGTGAACTCATTCGATATAATAACCAAAAACTAAAATCAATCAAAAAACAACTTAATAACCTAACACAAATAATAATCTAATAAACAAAATATGTACACAAAATCTTAAACTAAACCCATTCAATATTATATTAACCAAAAACTAAAATCAATCAAAACACAACTTAAATATATATATATATATATATATATATATATATATATATATATATATATATATATATATATATTAATTTCAAGTATTCTCCATTATTACTTAACATTTATTTAATTTTTATTATCTCTGTTTTATACTATCTCCAGATTATTTCCATCCTCTTTTAATTAAACTTTCATTTAATAATTCATAATATTTATCTATAATATATCTGTCATACATTACATATGCTTCCAGTACTTTAGTTCAAAACTCTCTCAGTCAACCATCAGATATGAAGCAACAATATAGTTCCCCATTCTTGCTACCATACCTCCATTCTATTCAAACAATTGCTTCGATCAGGTTGGTTGTCTATTTTATCTTACTTTTCTCCTTATTTTCTCCTTTCTGTAACTCTATTTTCCATATATCCATCTCCACTTTGTATATATTGATACATTCGCTCATTTATTTTTTACTTTATTTTAATTCTTCACTATCTTATACGTAGTCAGTACATTTTGATAGACTTTACAATGTTTCAATTTTGTATTTAAACTATTCTATTTACAATATCCCAATTTTCTATTTAAACTATTCTATTTACAATATCTCAATTTTCCTATTTCTTTTTATTTCTTATATAACTTCATATTCCTTTTCTCTGTTTTACATTTTATTCTAAGATAACCATTTTAGTTCTTATGTTACCTTATTTTTATTATGTTTGCTTCATTAGTCTGCACTTTGTAATCGTTATTATTATTTATTTCTTAGTTCTTGTTATTGTCATTATTCTACCTACTTTATTTTACTTTAATGTTCACTTATCTACTTCATTTTACTTTAATTTTTTTTTTTTTTTTTACCTACATTGTTTATGTTTCTCATACATTGTTTTTACCTATTATTATCTGGTTCTTTTCTCAACCCTGATGAAGGCCTGAACTTCGGGTCAAAACGTAAATGTTGAAATAAATATTATTTATTTTTGCCATTTTTATTTTGACTGATCGCCCCAACCATCCTTTTCTTCATTCTATTTTTTAACTTGTATATATTAGTTTAGATATGTAAAAAACAAAATTGCTAATGCGGTCCACATAAGGGAAACTTTTTAAAGCCAAAAAAGCCGAATTTTTCAATCTTTTTTTGTTTTTTCACCTATAACTCCTACATGATGCATCAAAGCAAAAAACTGTTCCTTAAAAAATTAAAGAACATTGAATGGTGCATTGAATGAGTACTTAAACATAATAATTTGATTAAGTAGCATGGTCGATAACCACATTCAACGAATACTAACTTTTACCAAATTCCTCAAAAACTGAGAAAAAGTGCTATAAATGAACCTGCAACTTGAAAAGGAGTTCTATAAGAGAAAAAACTAAGATCTGTACTTTAGACCACACGATAAAAGTGAAAATATCAGCAAGGCGAGATTAATAATATGAAATATAGATTATATATAATGGCCCATCATAAAGAGGATGAAATGCTGAACATTTTCCTCACATACAGTATGCAGGTCTGATTTTTAGTTGCTGAGATATTTCAATCCATTTCTTCAATACAACTCAATATAATTTGGTTTTTGACACTATTTTTTCCCTTTTCATCTCTCTAACACGGTGACACATTAAGATACAATTTTGAATAATCCCATTATAGAGAGGATGAAATGCTGAACAATTCCCTTGCTTACAGTATGGTGGTCCGATTTTTTGTTTCTGAGATATTTTAATTCATATATTCAATAAAACTTGTTATCATTTGGTTTTCGACATGTTTTTTTCCCTTTTCGCCTCTCTAATGTGGCGTCGCGTTAATATACAATTTTGAATAATAGCTCATTACAAAGAGGATGATGATGAATGTTTCCCTCGCTAACAATATGCAGGTGTGATTTTAAGTTTTCAAAATATTTTCATTCATATGCAAAAACACTTCAATTAGTTGACTCCAGGAGACTTTACCAGAGTGTTATACATCAGAGATCTGACGACAATATAATTCTCTGTCCACAAAAAAAGTGCAACACGTGTCTAAAGAAGTTTTCATTTCAAAAACTCATAGAATAAAAGTTTTGAGCATCTAATTCCGCCTCCAATGAGCACTAACAGTTTTAACGTAGGCCATTTACTCCGCTCAAAACCGGTAGTAAATATCGATGATTGAAATTTGGTAATGGAGATATCTGTGATTTTAAATATTTCAATAGTATGTATTTCTATTTTACTGAGTTATTCTTTTTAAAAGTATAGTATATACAGTATAGGACTATTTTTCATTAGCTCTCAGTAGCAAAAGATTTTGAGACCAAAAGAAATAGAATTTCATGAAGAAATAACAAAACCCAATTCGAGCAGAGTAAGTGACCTGCATTAAAACTGTTGATATTCAGTGGATGCAGAATTTGATGCCATACAACTTTTATTCTATGAATTTTTTCTCTTGGTATGTTAGGCCCGAGAGGGAGGGGTTGTCAGTCCACAGCTGAAGGGGCCTGCCCCGTCATCCAATTTTATTTTTTAACTTTTAATTTACTCTAAAAAAGTAGAGTATTGATCAATAAACAGCTCTAAGTAATAAATCTGAAATAGTCCACAGTTTATTTAAAAGTATTATTGTCTTAATTATAAAGGATTAGGTTGGATTTCAGTGGTGAATTTCATATTTGACAGGGGCCCAGGAAAATTTATAACTGGGTTTCTCTTCATGGCCCTTTGTATTGCATAGTGGAATCTCTAAGCAGTGCGAGCTAATTAATTCATTGTGCCTATTGAGAATCATTGAATCTACTAATATCATGTTTGAAACAGCTGATTGATAAAGTGTACAATTGGGCCTAAAAAGGGCTTAGTGATCTATGTCAACAAAGAAAAAAAGATTTTTATTTTTTATTTCTATGATTTTCAATTATATTTCTAGAAACTTTAAGACTGCATCCACCAATGTCTGCTGTGACACGTGTTTGCACTTGTAGCTGTGAACTATCACTCGGTGAACACAAGTACAAAATTGAAAAAGGAATTCCTGTTACTATTCCAATATTTGCTTTACATACTGATCCTCAGTACTTTCTTGAGCCAATGAAGTTTGATCCTGAGAGGTTTGATAAGAAAAACCGGTCTCTTCGCCACCAATTTGTTTATTTACCATTTGGAGCTGGACCAAGATACTGTCCAGGTGAGTTTTAAAAATCTATATAGTTGTTTAATGCCTATAGAAATGTTAACATTCTTAATGTAATGTTTTGGTTAATAAATAAAAATTATCTATCATATAATGGATGTATATATATTATATCTTAGGTGTCAATTTCTATGGGACAGTGGGTACAAATGTCCCTCAATGTTTGAAATGGTCACGTTTGCCACCTCCAATATTTACAGCATGCCTTTAGTTATAGGAATTTTTTTTTCTTGAAAGTTTCACATACCTGTGTTTTTCAAATTTTGAATTGAGCAGATATTGTGCGAATACAAAGTTTTTCATGCGCAATAAATTGATCACATAAATTTTTTTCTATTAAAATTAAATAGATGAAAGTTGATGTATTTCCAATCAGTTGTCGTTGATTTTTTTTTTCTTTAAAACGTCACATACCTATGATATTTTAATTTTTTATTTAATAAATAATTTGCGAATTGAATATCCCAGATCAGCTAATATGACTGATAAAAATAACAATAAGAGGTGTGAAGTATATTGTGTAGGTCGGTGGGGAAAGGACAGAAGAGCTCTCCTTTAGAGAAGGTCTTCACCAAGGTGATGATGCACTAGCATGCTTCCTTTTTAACTTGGCACTTGAGAAGGCATTGAGGGATTTTTGTGTGCAAACTAACAGGACAGTTTACAATCGGATGCTCCAGCTTTTAGCATATGCAGATGATGTGGGCATCATCCGGTCTTTATAGTCTCTAGAGAGGGATTTTTAGCTCCGTTGGAGGCTGCCAGAGCTCTTGTGTTAGGGGTGAATGAAGGCAAAACTAAGTATATGATAATAGGAGAAGCCCCTCGACATATATCATGTATTTGGAGTCACTGGTGACTCATGATATTGCTTCTGAGGTTGAGGTTAAGAAAAAATATTGATAGTTAACAAGTGTTACTTTGACCTTTTTCAGGAATTTACCTCTCACCCTCTATCTCAGCAGACCAAGCTCCACCTTTACAATAAATTAATTTGCCAGTCCTGTTGTATGGAACATGGACAACAAATTAAAAATTGAGCAAGATCTCCTAGTCTTTGAGAGAAAAATGGAAACTGGGGAATGCAGGCAGCCATCAAAATGTAGTTAATTTTGAATGAAGATGTAGGTCTGAGAATAGAGCTCGGAAGACCGAAATGGGCTGGCCAAATGGCTAGGACAGAGAAAGCAATTTCTAAGATGATTCTGATTGAACCTCTCTGTGCCCTTAGAAGAAGGGCAGACCAAAAGAAAACAAAACTGAGATGGTCAGATGGTGTGGCAAAAGATAGAAGAGATATCCAGGGAGTTAGAGCTGGATGACGGCTGCACAGAGCAGAGATGACTTGAGGAAGCTGGTGGAGAAGGCCAAGACTTGTCTTCGAGTTTTAGTGTCAAGATAGATGGGTAGATAGGGAATTCAAGAATATTACTTTTTCACTCAAATTAATCAAATAATTTTTTCCCTTTAAATTATAACCTATGAGTGACATACTGCCAATCAATTCTGTAGGCGAATGAATGATTTAAACTATGATCCCTGAAATATAAACATATTGAATTGAGCTGTGATAAACAGAATTGAAGTTCCCATTGTATAGAAGCATGTATGTATTTGAGTAGTTATTTTCATTAGGTTGGTTTTTTTTTGTTTAGTTTAGTTTATATACATTTACTTTTAGTATTATTATTTTTCCGTATTATTTATTTTTATTTATTGTGACTGGAGTGTGAATGTGCTCTTTGTACACTATTATAAATGTCCTTAATTGTGACAGATTGCAATATCTCTCAATAACTATGTTTAAAAAAAAGAAGTTTCCAGACTATGAGCCTCTCTGGCTTCCTGCTGTTTGTTTTAGAGAAAGTTTAGATAAAATCCTTGTATCAAGCCTGAGTGTCTGTTATGCAGAAGTCCTTAACGCTATAAAATTACTTAAAAATCGATGGGGATCATAAATGTATCCGCTATCGGGAGAAATCCACTACAGAGAAGCATCACTGCATGTATAATATATCAGAAAATTAAAATTATATCAATAATAAATTATAGTAATTGATGAAAATATATAATTGAAAAACAAAGCAAGAAAATATATAGGAAAAAGGTACAACTTAAAGAAGTAGAATTTGTTATAAAAATAACCTTATTTTTTAAAATAAAATGAATGGGAACTGAATAGATGATGAAGAATGGTAAGAAAGTGAATATAGATAATTATTATGTCAAATAAAAATGATTCCTAAGAAGTTGAAGTATTTTCACCAAGAGCTACATGAATTAATTAATCTGTCAGAAAAACATATTAATAATGGAAGTAATGAGAATTTAAAAAAATTATAAACAAAGTTTCCATATGAAAAATAAATAATGAAGAAGATTTAAAGAAGTACATTTTTGAATATGTACACTTTTATATAGTAAGTTTATATTTTATGTATATGTTGACCATCAGAATTAATAAGATGAAAACTTAATGACTTATTTTCATATTATCTTGAAGCTCAATCACGGATCATTTCCAAAATTATCTGTCAATTATTTTCTATTTGTAAAATGTTTTAAATTTAATTATTTTAGTTTTAATATTATTTAAAAGAAATTTTTATATTCACAAAGGCCTTATTTTAGAAATTAAATGATTAATTATTTTATTAGAAGGTGTAAAATATGAATATGAATATGTGTACACCTTCTTATTTTCACTTCCCTATCTATGAAATATATAGTAAAAGAAAGTATTAAGATTGATCGTGAAAATTTTCGGATCCAAGTTTTCTACGGATATACATGTTTTGAGGTCCCTTGAGTCCAAATAAACTATTCTTGCAAAATGGTCTGTGTATATGTGAATATGCTAGCTCAAAAACGAAAAATTGTACGAAATTGAAATTGCGTATTTGATGGGATGTTACAGCAACTTTTTCGTCAAAATCGGTAAACCGGAAGTGGTACTTTATATCATCTATTAAACATATTATGATTTTCTTGAAAACGGCTCTAATGATTTTGATTAAACCCGGAATATCACTTTATTATTGAGTGGTCTTCAATATCAGCTAGGTCTTATCCATATTGATGTCGCCTTATGGGCCTTATGGGGTTTAAATGCCTAATGATCAATATCTCTTCCTCTAAAATACTTTTAATTTGATTTATTTAAAAAAATTAACTATCTCTCATTGTTAGGAGTTATGAAAAAATGCCTAATATAATTCTTGAAAGAATTTGATAATTTAATAATGGAAAATTTTTTGTTTAGGTCGAAAATGAATCTCAATTAATTTATATTCAGTAGGTATAGGTATAAAATATCATTGGAAAGCGGAGAATTTTATATAAAACAATACGTAATATAGAAAGTTATAGAAGATAATGGAGAGTTACGAAAAATTATAAATAATAATTTGTGAAAACTAATATTATTTAACAGAAATCACATGTTCCTAAGTAAATGTAAATTAAATTAGTGAACAATTTGTTGAATTTTCCCTTTTTGAAATCCCAACATTATGCACTTATAATTAGTGTGACAACTTTTGACCTATCTATGTCAGACAATGCTCGTAATTTCATTTTAGTAAACTTAACAATGGAAAATAACAGTTCAATAACTAATAACTGTACAACCCATAATAATCTGTTGGTTAAATAGTTAAAGTTGACAGAATGACGTACTCAAATTTCAAAAATTTTGTATTATTAATTTTAGCATTATTTCTAGTGGGAAAATGTATACCTTTATTCACATTTCTATACTTCAACACTACAATCACCTACTCTGGAATCAACTTACTCACTGGAAAGGCACATATAGCTCAGAAACTTGAGTTATATGGTTTAAAAAAATATAGGGAATAACGAGTTTTATATTGCCTACCATCAATATAATAAATAGCGTTTTTGTTATTTTAATGATCTGAGTAATTTGTTTGCTGTAAGCTTTAAGTTTTAGCTCCTTTTAAAATGCATTTAGAAATTTTATAATAGCCCAATGTTGCCAAAGAAAAATTCTATTCAAAGTAGAGCGGTAAGTGAAAGTTTTGTATTGGGTGCATCAGATTTTTTGTATTTCAAACTAAAAAAGTTGATACTTTCATTCTCTGGCACTTATTTTTAAGTTTATTATTTTACACTCTATTTTTATCGATTAGCTGACCTAGAAATTGCTACTAATCAAGAATAAATCTTAAGTTTTCTGTTTTAATAATCATTTCAAAAGATAAGATACACAACATGATTTATGTTTCTCAGGTTCAAAGTTAGCTCTTCTCATTTTGAAGTCTGCTGTAATTTCTATCATAATGAATTTTGAAGTTAGACCTCGAGGAGCTATTAAAGAAATTGAGCATGATCCTATGAGCAGTCTACTTTCAACAGCCAAAGGAGAAATATGGTTGCAATTTAAAGAACATGTCACTTTTTATTGAGTAGCAATATCATAATTTGAGTTTTAGAAGTAGGATCTATTTGTTATTTATAATAGGGTCCATGAATGTATATTCAAATGTTTCCATGTTAATAAGACTGTTAATTTCTTAGATAGATTTATAAAGATATACCTATATTTTCCATTTATTTGTAGAAAATAGAGATTTTAACTTATTTTTTTTTTATGTACTAAATGTTTTTTATTTATCTATTTTTATAGAATTACTGATATTATATTTCATTCCTTTTTTATTAAAATGTTACAAATCATAACCTGACATTAGTTCTATTACAGAATTTATTTTTGAAAGAAAGTACTTCTTTATTCTTTTTTTTATTTTTATTCTATTTTATCCTAATTTAAATTTTTAACACCATGTAAAATACTAATTTTAATGAAAATAATTTTTTTTTTGATATATCGAATTTCAAAGTCAATTGTAACCTTTTCCATTTAAGTTATAACTTTTATCCATATCAATTATAACCTTATCAGGTTTTAATTAATTCATAAATATTAAAGTTTTTGTTCAAAAATAATTATTTTAATTTCAACTTTTGAAATAAGTTTGCCATATTCTTACAATTATTTTTCGATTAAAGCTATTGTGAGAACATTCGCATTATTTATCTATCATTCAGAAGTATTATTGATATTATGAAAATATTTTCATTCCTATAAAGAATACGTTATTATCAAGAAAGTCTTTTTTCCAAACACATTTTTTGAAACTCCATACTTATAATGACTATGATGTTTACTTGATTAGAAACTAGCTTGCTCTTCAGGAAAATTGTCCTTCAGTTAAGCAATTAGAGTCAGATACCTGTTAACTGAATCAACCCAGTTTTGTACTCATTGAGACATACTTGTTGAGTTGGTATGAAAGAGCAAACTTTGATTTGCAGTTCTCTAATATATGGTGAGTGGAGTATAGAAGTTAGACCTGGGTCAAAACTTCAGTACCGCTATGACAGTATTTACAATCAAGAAAATTAAAGCATGTTAACAAAACATGTTTATTTTTATTAAAAATATCAAAAAACTTCTTTCTATCTTATCTTTTTCCATCTTATTTCTGTTGTACTCTAGGAATATCAGAAATATTTTCATTTGTTTACATTTTTTATAGATTTTTTGTTTTTTATATAATATAATGACTTGTGATTAAGTAATTATCCTGGATTATTGTAATATCATATAAATATATTTTATAAAGAATGTTTATTATAGCTTTTTACATAACTAGTCAGACTATGAAGATTTTTTTTTAGCACATGCTTTTTGGTTGTTATTCTAAATTTATTTTAAGTTTCTACAAACTAAGGATTCATATTTTTTTTTAAATTTTTTAACATTACTCATTTTTAGCTAAAAAAGTTCCAGAAATATACTTTATGTTAAGGAGTCTCCCTCTCCACATGTTCAATATGTAATATTTTTAATTGTTTTGTTTACATACTTTATATATTTATATATTCCTATCCTAAATACCTAATATACCCATATTTAAAAAAAAAAAAAAAAATCCCCACATATATTATTTCACCAAGGTTCAAAATTGGTTTTGTACCAAATATAAGTTCTTGTCTTGCAGTTAGTTGGGGTACCGTGAGATTCAGAATTTCATAGTGGGTCAGCGAATCATACTCTCTGTTTTTGTTTTCTTTCTAAACTCAATAAAGTTGATGTAAACATTTCGCTAGGCTTCAACACTGGGATAGTGATAAGTCGGTGGATCGAGATGAGACAAATTGGGATTTTAAGATTGGCTGTGCACTGTGAATTAAAGCCCCAAAAATGCATTATTTTCGAGATAATGCACGATAAAGAGTTTGCAGCAACATGGGATGCATATCTCATTTTGTCTAATAGGCTCCTATGAGCGAGAGAGAAGTTTATCTCTATATCATTTATCAATTTTTTTTTTTGTCATTTGGAGTTTTTTTAAATTCTGTAAACCACATTTTTGTTTTAACACAGGAAAGGATAAAGATAGTATATTGTAGGCCTTTTCTAATTTCTAATTTGAAAAACTTTCTTGAACTCTTAAATTTCTTTTTTCTTTTTGTTATTTCACTACTCTAGCTCTTTTATAAGCAAATACATATGTGTATAATATTTACACATTTTTTGTGATATATACTGAGAGATCTTTTGTTTTATTTTTTTTTATTACAATTTAAAAATTGTTGAAGAAAAAATAACTACCAGACCATAGACTATAAAGAGAAATAACAGTATATTCATTATTTCTTCTTATAATTATTTTTAATTATGAACAATTAATATATGTAATATTTTTAATCTGGTTGAATTGCAGTTAGATAAAAATAAAAAGAGATTAGACCAAGAGATTTCAGGACCTAATTTAAGTAACTTTTACTAGTATTTCCTCTCACTAAACTTTTTAGAGTTGCATGATCTAAAGTCTGGCACTATGGGATTAGACTTCTATTTAAAATTTAGTTTTAATTTAGATATTGTATATTTATCTGGGTCAAACTTGGAAACATAATATTATTCTTCACCTTCTCCTGGCCATATTGTCAAGCTGTTCCTCATTATTCAACCCTGTGTTCTTTCTCTTACTCGTTTTTCGATCTACTTCCATTCATATATATGTTCCTCACAAGTGTGAAGTTTTCATCCTTACAACGTCTGAGGGTGGTTCCTTATGCTGATGTCATGCTTCTCATCCGTATATCATACTGGACTCTTCCTATCTAATCCCATCATATTCTCTTCTTTAAGTGGTAAATAGAGTTATTTCAAAGAGAAAGAAATACATTAAGGTAAGGTATTCAAAGATAAGACAGGTAGAGAGATTACAATTCATATTTGTTTTGACAATATTAATATTTCATATATATTACATCTTAAAAAAAGAATTTAATGAAATGTTCACATTTTTTTTAATTATGTCCATTTTCTCCTTCCGACTGACCTATAGTAGTTTTAATATTTTTTAGTTTTTGCATTTAAAATCAGTCTGTAACAACAATGAATGTTTCAGGGTAAAGAAATAATCCTGAGTTTTCACACATTTTTATTGCACCACATTATCAGCAAAGAACACCATTAAAGTAGATACAGCAATAAGCTTTGACAATGACATAGCCTCTTTAATATACATAAAATATTTATATTATAACATGAGAATAAATATATTAAATAACAGACGAGCCTCCCAGGACCACAGTGCGACGGTGGACTTGTCGGTTGGCTAACGTCTTTTTTTTTTGTTTATTTCGGACCCATACCAGCTTAATTATAAATAACATATTTTTCTTCATATATATAATAATATCATTAAAAGTATTTTAATATACCTTCATATATTGGTTTTACAATACATTGAGACCCTCGTAGACTTATTGTCATTTCACAAATGACATCAGTGTACCTGAATGTTCAATTAATAAGTGAAAATAAAAGATACCGTACGAGGCATATACAGAACATAAATACACAGATAGTTCGAGCGGGATATCTCTTCCTCACTGTACTCCGAGAGGCCCGCAGAAAACTTTAGTTCCCTTAATTGTAAATATATAGGTTAATATAGAATAATAATTTTAAAAATATTATTTGCCTACTTGTGCAGAGCAGTTGCAAACTGAGTCAAGTCCAGATGGGATAGGTGGTGCTTTTTATTTAAACATTTTTTATATAAAATCCTTTATGAATTACCCTTAGTACATAAACTTTATCATTGCTCATAGGCAGCCAAAAATTTTAGCCAAAATTTTGACAGTACACTTTTTAAACAACCCCGGGGGATCAATGTGACCCTGCTGGCAGAGTGCAGCCATCCACTACTGCCAGAGCCCGGGGGCACTGCCGCTGCGAGGCCCGGGCCTCGCCCTTTAGAAATGTGACCGGCACAATTTGGACCTAACCATGCACCCCTATCAGAGATCGTTTTATCAAGTCTTGGCGGCTATCCGCCGTCCGGAAATTCAGAGTTTTATACTCTATAATTCCCAATAAAAAATTAATAAATCATTAATTCAATAATAAAAGATACAGTACATACCATGGTTAAATTCAATTTTAAAATATCTCAAGCATTTAGTTTTTCTTCTTACATAAATATATGATAGGCATTTTTATTTATAATTAAAAATATAAAACAAGTGCGTTTTAAAAACGGTGCAATCCCTTAACATTATCTTTTAAAAATTCACCCTGAGTTGGGCTGTATCACAGTTTCTAAAAGATTTTTTTTTATAAAGTGGCTGGTACTGTATCTTTCATTTTGACATTTATTACTTTTTTATACTTTAATTATCACAAATTGCTTTGGTCACACTTTTTAATGTGACGTGAAAATATGAAATGCAAAATGAATCCTGTTGTCTGATTTTTAAAAACTTTTTTTTTCTAGCTGAAACCATTTCATGTTTAGTTTTTGTGCTCCCATATTTAATTTGATTTTAATATTTCAATTGAACTCGGTTTTCTTGTTTTGCACTTTATTTTATATATATTTTAATCTCAAATACTGATTTTTAATGTTGTTGATCTACGGCGAGTCAAGTTCAACCGTAGACCATTATACCTCATTCATCTTCTTCATTCTGATAAGCCACATAACGGACAGATGACTTTTCTCCTAGGGTTAAATACTGAAACAATATAATAAGTATATTAGCACAATTTGTAAAGTATAATTTTTAAATTGTTCTAAATATTAAATTATTGTATTATAATAAAAAAATTTAATTGCCAGATATTTTTTTATTTTATCTCTCCTCTTGTTTCTTTTAATTATGTGATGTTTTGGCCATGTAGGGCGGTGGAAACCAAGGATCCCAGGGGCGAATTCTCCACTGAATCTAATCTTATATTATGTTACGCATTTATTACATGAAATATGTAATGTTTTGTTTACAGATAAATTAGAAGGTAAAATATAACATGTGGTTGTACTTTTTAGGCTGTGTTCCCTTTGTGGTTCAGGCCCTAGGGCTACAACCCCTAATGCTCCCCTCCCCTGTCATCAAGCCTGTATCCACTAGCGGATCCAGGATTTAATTTTTGGGAGGGAGGGCTTCAGCCCAAAAGATTTTTTTTTTCATATACATATAACGGTAATTAATTTGAAACAAAAAAAAGAAATTAACTACCTATATGAAACAATGTTTAAGTGGTTCTTGAAGTACTATTAAATGTAATTAAATGAACAAGAATACTTTAAGAGGTAATTTTTAGTATTTCTTTCTGTAAAACATGATTATATTTTACCATTTTGGGAGGGGGGGGAGCTTCAGCCCGAAAGTCCCCCCTTCCCCCTCCCTCCTCCCCGTAGATCCGCCGGTGCCTGTATCCATATCATTTTAGATTAGAGATTTTTTTTTTTTTTTTTTTTTTTTTTTTTTTTTTTTTTTTTTTTTTAGAATGGGGGCGGGGTGGCCGAATAGGCTAAAGCGTGTGTAACAGCACCGCTAGTTTCCTGGCAACCGGATAACAGAGATTTGAGATGATATAAAAAGTACGAGTTCGCTTCCCGGTGCCGGAGGGGATTTTAAATTCTCCGCCCTCACCCCCCGGCCCGGGAAAATCCCGTATAGCCTAAAAGGCGAGGTAGGGAAGAAAAAAAAAAAAAAAAAATGTAATGATGAATATTTATATATATTTTTCCCTCAATAATAAAAATTTTGGTTATATGATAATGTAAATAATAATCCTATAAAAATTATAGTTTGAAAAATAAAATAAAACAAATAAAGGAGTATGAAATAAATAAACAATGAAAACAAATTTAATATAATTAAAAATAAAACAGTAAACTATATTGAATACTAATAAAAGAAAAAAACAAAAAAACTTAAATTTCTCTGCTTTGGTGCTGCCCTCTAAAAATTCATGACTAAAAATCCATGATTCATAATGTATATGTTTTCTGCAAAGGATAAGCATGAATATTATTGGGCTCCACACTATAACCCTTCAGCTTTGATCCAATCAAGATCACATTTCTGTCATATTGTTAAACACCTGAAAAAGTAGTTTTAGACTATATATTATGAGTGAATAAATAATTAATTTTAACTAAACAAAATATCATTTGTACTTGATTTATTTTCTCAAGCTAATACACAATTTCTTATATGTTATAATATAATATATAATCTATAGTTATATATTATATGTGTGTATAATTATATTGTAGACTGTATATAATAGACAAGAGGCATCAAAGCTATAAGGAGCCATGCAAGACATAAGGAGTTATTGCGGAGCAGATTGTGATTCGAACCATAGTCTGATTAGAATCAAACTCTGTCAGAGGCTAAAGCGAATCCACCGAATTGGAGATCAAGTGGAAAGAAAGAGGTACAAAGTCTGTAATTTGAAAAACTGTGTAGTACAAGCTGAATTTCAAATTGAGCTGAAAAATAAATTCGAACCCTTGAACGCGGAAAGCCTCATGGTTGACCAACACAGAGAGGCACTAGAGTCAGGGCTAAACAAACAGCTAAGGAAGTAATAGAGATTTAGGAAAAAAGATAAGCCAAGAAATGGTTCACAGAAGCATGCAAAAAGGCAGCGGAGGAAAGAAAAAAATTCCTCTGCTTAGCCCAAACTGATCAAGCTATGCTGGACAAATACATAGCCGCCAGGAAAAAGACAAACAAATTAATGAGAACAGCAAAAAGAGAATTCCTCAAAGAAAGATTATAAACTATTGAGGAAAACTGGCAGGCTGAAAATATATGCGAATTCTTCGCATATATCCGGAAAGAAAGGTTAGGGTATAAAGCGAGAAATACACAAATGCGAGGGAAAGATGGCAAATTGACGAAATGAAAAGAAAAGATCCTAAGCATCTGGAAGGAACACTTCCAGTAGCTGCTTAATCAAGGACATCCCACAAACAAAGAAGGCATGGACTGCATTGAGAACATGGACCCACTTAAGGTTGAAAAAACAGATATTCTGGATGTGGAAATAGCAATCAGTAGACTTAAAATAAGAAAGCCACCAGGGATAGACAACATACCATCAGAATTGTTCAAGGATAGGGGAGAACACCTCAGAGCAAAGCTTTTAGATCTAATCCAGAAGATATGGGAGAAGGAACGGATACCAGAAGCCTGGGTTGATCTGTCTTATCCTTAAGAAGGGCTCCATGTATGAATATGGCATTTACATCGGCATAACACTTCTTCCGGTTGCCTATAAAATAATGACTAGTATTCTGCTAAATCGGATATATCCGTATTATGAAAACATAATAGGCGACCATCAAACAGGATTCAGGAGAGGGAAGAGTACGCTAGATCAGATATTCATCCTGAAACAAGTACTTGAAAAACGATGGGAAGTAGGTCAGGACGTGCATGCCTTATTTGTCGACTTGAAAGCAGCCTATGACTCCGTGGACAGAAACTGTCTCTGGAAGATCATGACTGAGCGGTTGTTCTCGGGAAGTTAGTGAGGTTGACAAAGGCGTGTACAAACGATTCTAAATCCAGGGTACAAATACAAGGAGAAGTATCTAAAGCATTTGAAGTTCGAATGGGTTTGAGGTAGGGAGATGGACTTTAACTGATGCTGTTCAACTTAGCCCTAGAGAAAGTAATAAGAACATCACGCGAAGATGGAGAGGTGCTCGTCGGAATGAAACACAGAATCCTAGCATATGCGAATGATATAACTGTCCTCGGAATTAATCAAGAGGATATCGAGAGACTCGCTTGGACTCTGTTAAAAGAAGCAGAGCAAATCGGACCACAAGTCAATGTAGATAAATCAAAATACCTGATAATTAGCCGAAACATCCACCCTAATAACATGATCTGCGTGGACTCTAAGTCATTCCCAAAAGTAGACAGATTCAAATACCTCGGCTCCACAATAACCTCAATATGTGATTCACTAATAGAGATAGACCAGTTAATAACAAGTGCGAACAGATCTTTCTTCGCTCTTTCAAGGGTATTAAAATCCAGAAAAAATTCCAGAAATCTACAAATAAGGGTGTATAACGCTGCGATTAAGCCAGTTCTGCTGTATGGTTGTGAAACCTGGACTCTAACTGGTACACTAAAAGCCAGAATTGAGAGATTCGAAAGAAAAGTTCTCCGTAAAATAACAGGAGCTATATTGGACCAGAACCTTGACACTTGGAGGAGAAGGAACAATAAGGAACTGCTGAAAGAAAAAGGTCAATCATTATCTCATAAAGGCAAGGAGGTTAAGATGGGCGGGGCATGTAGCTCGTCGCAATCTATCAGGGCACTTTTACACAACAATGAATGGCAGAGTAATAGGCAAGAGACCACGTGGGAAGCCAAAAACCAGATGGATAGATAGGATAAACAAAGATACGGCTGAGCTTCATACCGCAAACTGGAAAGCAGTAGCCCAAGATAGGCAGAGGTGGAGAAGGCTGGTTCATGCGGCCAAAGATCTACAAGGTCTGTTGAGCCAACCGGAAAAAAAGTATATATATATATATATATATATATATATATATATATATACACACACACACACATATATATATATATATATATGGTGGCTTTTCCCCTCCTTCCGAAGACAATATTTCCTAGGTACGTTCCTCTACCAAATCATCAACAGCCATCGTCCTTCTTACGGCTACAACCTTCTCCAGTTCAAATCCTCAGTCCATTCCTTGTCCACAAGATCTCGACCTTCTAACCTTTACATGCCTTCTCACAGATCTGCCTCATTCCAAAATTCCTTTATTGTTCGCTCTGTCAATTTCTGGAATTCCCTCCCTATCAAAATTCGACATTCCCCATCCATATCCAAATTCAAAACCCTCCTATTCCAATTCCTATCCCAAGAACAGTCAGATAGTTGCTAACCATTCGAGCTGATTTTAATAGAGAATTTGATACATACAAATTCATTGATTGATTCATTGATACATTTTTAATTTTAATTCTTTATTATTTTCTCAAAAGTGTATACGAGTCTATCAGTGCAAATAGCTTTAAGCGCCTTGTCATAGTATTAATTGTTTTGTATATAGTTTCGTTTTTTGTATATAGAATGTTTACCTTATATTTTTTTTTTACATTATTTCTTTTTTTCGATTGATTTTATTTTGGCCAGATGTGATCTTTTAATTTTGTTCTATTTTGTTATTCTCAAGGGACTGTGTCCCGGAATAAAATTATTTTTCTATCTATCTATCTATCTATATAATAATATATAATATAATCCAATCTTTGTTGACATTATGATGTTTCTGAGAAATTAAGGGTTTAGATCAGTTACCCCAATAAATATTTCCCTTCACTTTTTCATTAAATATTTGCAAATAAGTTAAAATTTGGTTATATGTTAATCAGTATACCAGTATTAATTTGTACTAAATGCATACCTCTGGTTGTGCATTAAATTCCGATTTAAGGAGAAAACAAAAATCACAAATGAGTGGATTAATGTAATATCATTAACAAGATGCAGTACAATAAAATCAGCGAGATTTTGGAGTTTAAGATTTTTTAAGGCGTTGTAATTATCCCCAAATGTATCCAGAAAGTTTCTGAAGTTAGTAGAATTATTAACCGAAAAAGATTTAAACCATATAATTTTGTTTAGATGGTGAGCCGGAATGATCCTTTTATTGCTGTAGCGCTTTACTAATTTATGATAGGCCAAGCTGTTATTTGCTGCATTAAACTCGATTGAAGGAATGACCTGGGAAGCAGGATGAACTAAAAGTGATTTGAGGTATGAAAACTTTACCATTTCTGTATAATTTCGATGATGAATCAAGGCATCAAACAATGACTTAAATGAGGGAAATTGTTCGTACTGACCGGAAAATGGAGGGATTTGCAAATCTGGTAATTTAGGGTAAGCTACTGGTTCAGACATGAGCTGAGAAGCGGCAACTATGTGCTCAGCTTTAATTAATTTCTCGTGCCCAGCTTTTATTTCATAAGGTCTTCCGCCGCTAGGGATGGTGAGTTTACTTCAATTCTATGTTCTTCATCTAATGATTTATTTAGCACGGAAATTTTGTTCAAAACCGCTTCAAATTCCTCTAGCTTTAATTTCTGAAGCCTTAACTATAAATATTTCGTTTCTATCAGGGAGACCCTCAATCATATCATATGTAGTTTGAATTCGAAGAAACATCCTTTCTTTTATATCATTTATAGCTTATAATAATTTATAGCATAAGTCCCTCAATACCCTTAGTCGGTGCCATCTTCAAAGTAGTAGAAAGAAAGAAATAAAATTCAAATCAAATTTTAATTGCTGAAGGCAAAACCCAATTTTTTTCAAAATTAAAATTTAATTGCTGAAGGCACAATTAAATTTTATTCAAATAGAAATATAATTTCTTAAGGCAAAACCCAATTTTATTCAAAATTAAATTTTAATGTTCAGTGGTGCAGGCATTTTATTAAAAATAAATTCAAAGTTCAGCAAAGCAGGTCCTTCATTCAAAACAATTTCAAATTTCAGCAAAGCAGGCCAGGATTAACGCAAGTATTATATGTACAGCAAGTCACTATTTGTCGTTTCCTGAGTATTCCTGGAAACGTATCTGGAAATTGCTTGACTTCCCCTAATACATAACAAAACCATTACATCTATTGGTTAAAGTATATTTTTGAAAAACGTGTTATTAGGTGAAATACGAATATTAGGCCAGAAATTAATTTATACATACACACACACAAGTATTACACTGGCGCTCCCAAATACGCAACAAAGTAATAAACGACGTAATTTACATTAAAAAAAACTAATTGGCGTAATACGAATATCAGCCCGGAAATAGACGATCTTTATATAACCTTTCATAACCTACCAGGCAATTTTCCACTTTTACGTACGGCAAACCATCGCTGATATGGCAAAAAAAAAATATTTAATCGTGTCCGGTGGACCAAATGTTTAGGCAAATTTTCCAATTACGGCAAAATAACTCTCATGAGTTTCAACAAGGCAACATTCTAAATTTTAAAGCAACATTCTAGTTTTTAAGCAGTGGACTGTAT